GTACTATTTGTGCATTTTCTACACTTTGAAAAATTACGACAACAGATTCCGCCCCATCCCGTCAAAATATGACGCAAGGGGGGTACCTGATGCGTCAAAATYGRAYGCAAAGGKACCTTTGAAAAACGTCAATATGTGACGACTCGGGAGTGAGAATGGGTTGGAATGTGTGTGTGAATGAATGATGCATGAAAAATTGTAAAAGCGTCTTTGAAGGTCTCAAAAAGTGCCATATAAGACTAATGCATTATTATTATTATTAACTTCCACGTTTTATGTTTAATTTAGACTAAACAGGAAAAGTCAGGTTCCTTGTCTCATTGCTACATCTAAGCTCCATTAACAAACAATAACTGAATTCTTCTTGGTATTTTCTGGACATGTTTAAACACTGAAAAGTACTATGTGTATAACTGACTAAATGTGAAATTACTCACTGATGAGTTATGGTGAATAGCTGTCATCTTAAATCCTGAATGCTTCCACTTTCCAACAGGAAAATCCCACTGGAGGGGCATTCCAGTTATGGTTAACGACTTGTAAGTGAGAAATTCCCACTTCCCAGCACAACTGGGCAACAGCAAAAATAGCAAGCAAAAATCCAGCTAAATGAAGATTCTACTCAGCAAATTTTGCCAGCTCTTTGGACCTGTGTTCGGATGCCTTCATTTTGCAGGGAAAACAAACATTATGGGAGATGTTATTTATGGTCAATACTGGCTTTAAAGTAGCATGCACTTCTTTCAAGACTCACCTAAATATTGTGGTTAGCCACATTTGGCTAACCAGTTTGACATTTTCTAAACTCCACACAGTGCAAAACATCATTCATACTGCTCAGGAGAAAACACCTGCCTGGCTGATGAACCTGCTGTGTCAACAAGAAAGGACGTGGTCCAGACAGCAGCAACGAAGGGAGATGAAACTGTGGCAAGCAAATGCACCATGTAATCAATACTTTGAAAGGTTTAAGTTTTTACCATTTTGTTTTGCATTCACCCATATGTTCTATGATATATTATGTTTATTTCTGATTTTGCATAAAGTCTGGACGAAATTATTGAAACAAATACAAAATTTTCCAACTTTTTTTAAATAAAATTTTTTGATCACCTCTTAAGAAAAAAACTTTTCAAAGCTTATTAAACTTTCAGTTTAACGCAGCCTATAGGTTATTGATTACAGTTCAGATTGGATCAAAAAGACACCAAAGTATGACTTTATTTTATAATTATTTTGCCAGAACATCCTGCTGCCTTCCACAAACAAGTTGTGACTTGGAATAGAGAAAAAGGTAAAGAAAAGGGATGAATGGAACCGCTTCACTTTAAGTTTTAACAGCAGTCGCTAGACCTTGTAGTAACAAAGAAATCATGTTCAAAGTCCCTACATGTCTTTTCAGTTTTGTTTTGCATATATTTTTTTCTTTTTTCAAATCCCAGTTTACCCATAAATCTGGCTGCCACAGCCGTGCTGCTGACTTTGATATACTGCCAGAGCGTGTCCCACATGGAGCCTTTAGATCAGTACGTCCTGCTGTTTTTACTGCTCCAAACTCCGACAAAGACCTGTAACACAGCTTCCTCCTTTAGATCCAAACTCTGGAACAGGTTTCCCGCTGGTGTAGAAACGGCACATCAAATGAGGTGCTTAATTCCTGCAGAAAAGTCACTTTTCAGAGAAAAGCGATATCTTTTCATCCACCACTGTGAGATCATCTACTTTCTGCTGAAAGATTAGTTGAAAAAAAAAAATAGAAAAAGTCATAAAGAAATGTTTAAAAATATGAAATGCTTCTGCAAATACTAAATTAAAAAATAATTTTCCCTATGCAGATATTCCTTCTCTATGAATAGTTCCAATTAAGGCTTTTACTTTCAAAAATACAAAAGTAGAATATTTATGGTATTCCTGTTTACCATTTATTCCTGTTTGACACAATTTACCAAATGTTGACAATTTTTTTTTACCATTTTCAAAAATATAAATCCTTGATAAACTCTTTTTTGTTGTTTTCAACAAATCAAAAACAAAAGAAGCTGGTAGCATATACAACGTAAACAAACAAAAATATATAATTTTCATTGACTTTTTTACTAGACTAAATGTGATATTATTTTCCTCATCATTTATTATCACTTGCTGCTGAAAGGTGACTCACAAAAAAGTAAATTATTACATGGCTGATCAAAGCATTTGTTAGTTTTTATTAAGAACTATGCCCTCTTAAATCAACACAGGGAAACCTCTCTGATGCCAAAAAGACTGGTCAAATAAAAGTAACAGATAGTGATAAATTGTCTTTGTTTTTCATTAAGGGTAGTTTCTGTTTCGAGATTACCC